GTTAAATTTCAAATAAACGACTCACATGGAGAAACTGTCGCAGTGTCCAGCGCAGTATGTGATGTTAACTGGCTGTGCGCTCTTGCAGTTGTTCAGTTCAATGATTCTCTGCTCCTTCTGGGTCTTACACACACTGATATTGCCTGGAACATAACAACAGTCGCACACTCACGTGAGGCACAGTTTGAAACTTTGCTCTTAACATTATTTAGTTATTTAGTTTGATGCTTACAGGTTTTGCAGCAGCCACTGGCATCTGTTGTTTCAGTGCCCTGGAGGAAGAAGACATTTCATGTTGTGTGAATTATTCAGCAGTAAAATGCAAAATCCACTAATCTGATCTGTAAAAGTCTAATAAACTCACAGGTTCACAGTCCAAGGGGTTAAAGGGAGGACAACTAGTCTTGGTTTCCTTGGTAACAAGCTGTCCATTGAGCTTCTCACAGGTATATTGCACACATTTGTCATTAGGAGATATGTAAGAGCTGTTGACCTGTAAAACATGAAAGTCACAACCAAGACAGTTGTCACAAAGAAACTAGACCAAAACACGGTACCTGCATGTCATCTCATTTCAAAAATACTTGTTTGGCTTTGAATTTATAAGCTTTTGTTTCTTAGGTCCTAAATTGCTGATTAGTTTTTAAGAAGGAAAAAGAAAGGAGTCCTGCTGGTGCTTCTAATGCTAGTATTTATTCGCTGTTGGTTGCAGTACTGACCTCAATAACATGCACCGTCACGTTGTCAGGTGTGGTGAAAACACAGTCCGTCTGAACACATGCTCCACAACACTTTCCTGCTTCAGTCTGATATTCATAACCCTGCGAAAGAGTGAGATATGAAGAGTAAGAGAGCTTTGTGAGGAAAGATGTGTGTGTTTGTGTCGACCTGGGGATGCTGGAATATGCTTCACTCATTAATCTGCATGTGAAGGACTCTACCACTCATCACAAATGCTTGAACACAGTTCTTGCTAAGGGGGCACAGCCAGTTAGTAGGTTGGAGTTAGAGTCAGGCATTCTTTTCTTTTCATTATTTAAAAACTGTATTTAATATTTACTTAAGTTATTTTTATCTCATTTAAAAATGTATTTGGTTACCTTAAACATCTAAGTGTGACAAATGTGTAAAAACCTAAGAAATCAGTAAAGGGCTAAAAAGGTTTTATCATTACTCTTTGCACAACAAAATGAAAGAAGAAAGCGAGTATAGAAAGGATAAACACATATGTGCTTAGAGGCTAACTTATTTGTTAATGATGCCTTCATAAAGTTCTTAAAGAGTAGCGTTTAACATTGACAGTGCTTCATAACATTTATCCTTAGTTCATTATCTGAAACATGTACTTTTAATTCTTCACCTTAAAGGTATAAAGGCCAACTTTCTATTGGATGGCTCCACCTCATTAAGAAACATTTGAACAACAGACGGGTGGTGTTTCTATGTTCCCAGTAACACCTGAGTGATATTAGTGATATCAACCTCAGTGACATCATAGTGAGCTACTACTAAAAAAAATAGCAGAAATGCTGTTTAGAGCAGTCTGAAGGAGTGCGTGTTCATACATTATGTGAAGCTACAGTTGTGTTTAATGTAACATAGCAATACCGTTTCAGCAATGAACATTATTTTCTACTGCAGAAAATAAGAA